CATCTACAGATACATATACATATGCATATGCATGTACATATACATGTACATGTGCATGTATACATATTAAATATGTCTATGTATTGTATTGTATTGCATTGTATTGTATTGTATTGTATTGTATTGTATGTATTGTATGGTTCGTATGTATGTATGTATGTATGTCTGTATGTATGTATGTATGTATGTATGTACGTATGTACATACGTACATACATACATACATACATACAGGTGCGACACCAACGGATCTGAAAGAGAGATCCTCTGTACCTTTATCTTGGCAGGTCCGCCAGATGATCATGGAGACCATTAACAACCTCGAGGAGGAGCTGCTCGAGCGGAAAGTGTTGTGCGAAGGAAGTCATGGCCTATGCACCAGCTTGGTTCGTAAAGGGTTCGGGGTTTTCCTGATGACGCAAAGAAGACGGCATCGGTTTGCACGTGGAAGCGGTTTTCGGTCGGCAAGCTCTGCGCTGACGCCAGGCTAGCCGGGAAGCAGGAGAGAAGCAGGCCAGGAGAAGCTGAGGGTTGGGGTGATCTGCTTCTTGTCTGAGGCAAACCAGGGTAAGGGGATGACTTGGGTCTGCCGGAAGCAGGAAGAACACGGGCAGGACTAGGGAGCCAGCAGACAGGAATCACATAAATCCAAAGCTCACCGAAGCTCACCTGACCTCCATGAAACTGGTTCCAGCAACCCTGCCCCAAGCAAAGTCTTCAAGGCATTCTGCTCAAAAGAGCTTGCGACGAGCCGCGCCGCCGAGACGGTGCCCGGGAAAGGGTGGAGTCACGATGGGGCTCGAGTCCTTCAAGTTTGTCTTCAGGTGCGGGGTCTGATTCAGAACTCAAGCTTTTGGCAGCAAAAAGGGGTGGCCCCTGGCGATTGTAGCATTCAGCTCAGGTGAGTATTGCTTTGGGCTCATGAGACATGTAGTAGCCGCTAGAGTATGCAGTCACCTAGTCTATAGCATGTAGTGCACAGTGTGGAGTCTATCGTCTTTTTCCTATAGCGTATAGTGTAGTGTAGAGTATATTGTATGAATGTATGTATGCATTCAGGCTTGCATGTGTGCATGCATTCACGTATGTATGTACGTACCTATGAACGCATGGACAGATGGATGCATGCACACATACATGCATGCATGCATGCATGCATGCATGCATGCATGCATGCATGCATGCATGCATGCATGCATGCATGTGCATTCGTCTGTCTGCCTGGCTGGCTGGCTGGGTGGCTGGCTGGCTGTCTGTCTGTCTGTCTGTCGCTCTGTCTATCTAGCTGTCTTTGTGCACGTAGGTATGAATGTTTATACGCTATTTGATCATGTGATCTCGTCCTGAAACCCTCCAGGCGGCTAAAGATGCCGCAGCAGAGCTCCGCGGAGAGCCCCTCCCTTTGAAGAGTCGAAGCACAGGGGGTACTGTCACGTTGTCTCAGAGGCAGTGCCGAGAGGTTGCTCTGCGTTGAAGCTGAAGTTTTCAAAGAGGTCCCTTGAGAAGGGCCGTGCAGATGGGGCGGAGCCCTTGCCATACAACGTCTCTTGTCGCTCCAAGGCTGGAGGAAGCGGCCGCGGAGGTGCAGCAGCTGACAGAGGATGCGAGCATGGCTGTTTTTTCGCTCATCCGTCTATCGTCCGTCAAGCCAATTGCCCAAGCTGCAGTCTGAAGCAGGAAGTGTCATCGCATCCAAGCAGGACGAAGCAGCACTCCGCCTGGATGTGGAGAAGCTCGGTCGCGCTGCCGAGGAGGTGAAGCGTCTTGATCTCGAACTACAGCTTTAGAGGACCTCCCGTGTCCTGCGAGGCTCGGAAGGAGAGGATGGACTCCAAGACGAGAAATTCCGCGAGCATAAAGGCGATGCGTTGGCAGTGATCCTGTGGCTTTAACGCTTTAAATACATGACGACCATGCTTGTGTTTATGGAGCAGTTAGCCATCGGTATACAGAGAGGTTCAACAAGTGAAGTCCCTGCTTTCATTCCGAAGTCTCGACTTCCAGGGTCCTCGCCCTTTCTTTCTCCCGCAGCCTTGTGAAGGAGGCGGAAGAATCCCAGGAGGCTCTTGAGAAAGCCTTGGTGATGCTGCGGGAGGTCTATGGAAAGGCTTGGAAGACAATGCACACGTCGGAGCTGAGTCTGCGAAGTCCAATTTATTTTGGGGGGTTTCCTTTTCCTTATTATTATTAGTATTATTATTAGTATTACTACTGTTATTACTATTGTTATTATTACTGTTATTACTATTGTTATTATTATTATTACTATTATAATTATAAATATAAATATAATTATAATTATAATTATAGTTATAATAAAAATAATAATTATTATTATTACTATTATAATATATATATATATACACATATATATATATATAAAGAGATATTCCACAAAACCCTATTCTAATTATTAAGGCCCCTATATTAGTACGTGAGTACTTGGGTTTAGGGTTTAGGGATGGTCTCTGTTGCACAAGCCGTGGGAATTCGACGAAAATAAGACCGCGCTGGATCGCCGCAAGGCTCCGGCATCCTTGTTGCAAGTGGATCAGACTTCGTCTGCTGGGGTCTCAGAGGTCAAACAAGTTTAGGGTTTAGTAAGTGCTGCTTTGCATTTGCGACCCAACTATGGACACCATCTCAAGTAAACACAGCAACTAGCTCCCAAGTGCTTCCTGCCCCCGTGTCCTGAAACGATGGTAGCTGGCTGAGCCTTCCAACGAGGATGTGCCGGCCATTGAAGGCGCGCCGGAGACGTTCCCCGATGCGGACTACGCAACTGTTCAGCACAAGAGACGGTCCCTTTTTGCTCGGAGCAAAAACCTCTTGGAAATTGAATCGGATGTTCGGTTGCTTCCTGTAGCAACCAGACAGCTAAACCAAATCATACAGTAGGAAAGAGACCCCTCAACCCTAAACCCTAAACCCTAAACCCTTAAACCCTTAAACCCTAAACCCTACCCTAAACCCTTAAACCTAAACCCTAAACCCACAGCCCGTGGGACTTTGAGGTCGCGGCTCCGCAGAGGGGCTTGCTGGAACTCCTTGAGGCATGAGGGTTTATAGGGCGGGTTTAGGGGTTTAGGGTTCAGGGGTTTAGGGTTCTAGGGTTTAGGATTAAAGGGTTTTAGGGTTCAGGGTTTAGGGTTTTGGGGTTTAGGTGTGTAGGGTTCAGGGCTTTAGGGTTTAGGGTTTAGCAGCTCTGCAAGCTGCGATTGCATGGTGGTTATATGGTCGTATATGGCTTCTACAAGGTTGTTCTATTGTCACTACAGGGTGATGATGGGGGTTATTGTAGGGTTCAATCGTAGGGCTTTTTTTCACGGTCTGGTTCAAGTCAAGTGCGGCCCTCCTCTAAGTGGCCTCTTGCTCCTTTTCCTTTTGCGTTACGCTCCTGGTGTCTATTCTCTGCTTGGGGTACTCTTTCTCGTTGCATTTTGCTGTGCTGCTTCTTTCCGCGTTTCTTGCGGCGTCTGCTTATGTCTTTTTGCGTCTGCTTGTTTGCTCCTTCCTTTCATAGTTTCCATGTGCCGTCTGCCTCGTCTTGTGTTGTTTTGGCACCTTGTTTTTTTGGTGTGACTCCGTACTTTCTGTACGTCCGCAATTCGTTTTGCCAGTGCTTGTTTCTGCAGTTTGCAAGTTATTTTTTGTCTTTGCTGCTTGTTTGTAGCAGTTTTCTTACGGTCGGTCCGGTCGGTCAATTAACCCCACTCCTGCGATCCCAAAGCCCCAGACCATCAACGCCTTTTTTGGTAGGGTCCAGGTAGGTTCTATACTAGGCTTTGTATTTGGATACTGCAAAAGTAGATTTATATTGTTCTATTAACTTACGACAATACCCCCAAGTCTGGGGTACTAGCTCGGTCGGGACTTTTGCGGTTCGCCACACACATCCGCCAGCCATGCAGCTCCTTTTCTCATGGATACCTGATTGCAAACGTCCAAGTTCACGGCTGGAACGGAACCCAAGCATAAGCGGACCATGGACTGCCACAATCCCTTCAGCCCTAAACCACACTACTTATACAGAGACTACGAACCGTAGAACGTTGAACTACTCTACTGCTGGGTGTATCTGGAACCCTGTGTCTTAAACCTGAACCAGAATAGCTTCAACCCCAAAACCACAAGCACAAAGCTTCCACACGGCAATTCTCCAATCGCTTGTTGCAAGTGAGCAAACCTGCAAGTTCGAATTCCCAAAAATTTCAATGAACCAGCACCTTGTACATGTGATGTAAAGGACAGCTCGCCTGTAAAGTAGACTCGCAACATCTGTATTTCGGATCAGGAAAGGTGATCCGACGTTGGAAGTAGCCATGCCGGAGGTAGGACCCATGTGCGGGCTTGGGGCGTCGGGTCCACGGTCCGGGGGCTATCATCTTCAAACCTTCAGAAGCTCTGCACACCCGCCGCAGGCCCCTCTTTAAAGGGAGAGGGGTCAACAAAAAATTTCAAAAAGGATCAAACAACATTTACGGAGGATCAAAGAAATTTAAAAAGGATCAACAAAATATTTACGACTTACAAAGCAATTTGTTGCTTTTCTGGCTGGTTTCTCGGCTTCCTAGCTTTTCGG